TGCAGAGAGGCGGAGGGGTGGGGAGTGAGAAATCACCCCTCAGGCGGGATGGCCCCATTGCAATCCCTTGTCCTCCATTCTCTTGGGATTTGAGCATGCTTGCACATGCGCCCAACATGATTTTTCAAGCTGCCACATCTGAAATTCAAACCGCAGTTGACCATGTGGGAGTCCAGCACCTTAACTACCATGCCACCTGCCGGTTCCACTTCTTTTTTTTAGAGGAGGTAGGTCAGAAAATGAAGAAACAAAAGCAAAAATTATACACACACACATACATACACACACACCTCTCCTAGCATGATTTTCCGCTTTACTTTACAGCCAAGAAATCTGGATTCACCAATCAACCCAACAGATGTCTGTTAGTAGGAGGGATTTTCAAAAACTTCAAGGAAAATACATATTACAAAAAACTAGGCATGGATTTCAATAAGCTGACACTTTATTTTTTTAAAAAATCATTTATTTAATTGTATTTGTTATTATTTTTTAGTTTGCTATCGGCCACATGTGCTCACCAGAGAGAGAGAGAGAAAGAAAGTGAGAAAGCAAACCACTAGGTCTGGGACCCAAACCGCCATTGGCCATGTGGAAGTCCAGTGCCCCAACTACTATGCCACTTGCTGACCCCAATAAACTATAGTTTAATGCCATTTTCATGAATTTTTTTGAGATTCCCCTCACATTGTCTCAGTTTCCTATAAGTCTCATTCTTTCTACTTTAAAATGACAATTTCTTTATATTTTACTGATGTGTAGCAAGTCCTTTTCAGAATAGGAAGGACTTATTTGATTTTTAAATTAAAAACAACAATAACAACAAAAACATCCTCCCTATAAAAAATGTTTAAGGGCCAGCCGGTGGCATGGTGTTAAGGCAGCTGGATCTCACCTGGGGGACTGTGGATGCCTGAAATCTGTGGATGGGGAGATGGAGAAGAAATTGCAGCATGACTTGCACCTCACTGTGGGGGTGCGTTCTCTTTCTCTCTGTCTCTCTGGAGAGCGCACACATCCTCTGGCAATGAAAAAAAAAAAAAGATTAAGGCCGGCAGGTGGCATGGTGGTTAAGATGCTGGACTCCTACATGACTGACTGCTGTTTGAATCCTGGACCTGGCAGCTTGCTTTCTCACTTTCTCTCTCCTCTCTCTCTCTTTCTCTCTCTCTCTCTCTCTCTCTTTGGAAAGCACACATGCCCTATAGCAAATTAAATAATAATAATAATAATAATAAATAAAATTAAATAATTATTTTTTAAAAGATTAACAGGAGAAAAGTATATAAATTTAATAGAAATTTTTTATGGCATAGGATCCTTAAGAAGTAGATGAAGACCCAAAGAACCAGTTACAGTCAGTTATTTACTCACTGAATTGAACAAAGAAAGTAAATTGTGAAGAAGCAATTAAATTATATGAGGAGGGCTTAAAGCATCTGCACCAGCTAGGAGCTTGTTAGAAATGCAGAATCTCAGGGCCAGCAGGTGATATAATGGTTAAGGCACTGAACTCCCCTCCCACATGGCTGACCATGGTTTGAGGTTGCAGACCCGGTAGCTTGAAACTTAGGCCAGGTGTGTGCATGTGTGTGCCTAAACTCCCAGGAGAAGAATGGGGAAGAAGTGATTGCAGTGTTGCCATTCCCCTGGGAGATAATTTCTCACTTTTCCTCTCACTGTCTCTCTCTTGCAAGTTCACGTGCCCTATGGCAAAAAAAAAAAAAAAAGAAAGAAAAGAAAAGAAGAAAGCAAAAGAAATGCAGAATCTCAGTCCCGCTTCTGATCTCTACATTTTTTTGGGTGGAAGGGGGGGAGCTTTTCGCTATAGGGTGTGTGCACTCGCCAGACAGACAGAGAGAGACGTAGAGACAAAAAGCGAGAAATCACCCCCCAGAGGGGGTGGTCACCACGCCGCAATCCCTTCTCCATTCTACTCTCCGGATCCTGGGCACTCACGCACACACGCCCAGCGTGAGTTTTAAGCCAACGGGTCCGGGACGTGAACCACGGTCGACTACGTGGAAGTCCAGCGACAAAGCCATTACGCAACTGCTGGTTCCCTGATCTCTACATTTTAAACAAGATCTGAGGAATGATGCAAATGCATATTCTACAGTCTGCCCCCTCCATATGGGTCCATCAGGGTTGCTGTGACAAAATGCCATAAACTGGCTGGCTTATAAACAAGATTTCTTTCTCATAGCACTGGAAGCTGGAAAGTCCAAGATCAAAGTGCTGGCAAATTTGGGCCAGCAGGTGGTATAGTGATTAAGGCGCTGGACTCCCAAATGGCTAGCTGCAGTTCGAGTCCTGGACCTGGTGGCTTGAAACTCATACCAGGTATGTGTGCATGCATGCCCAAAATCCTGGGAGGAGAAGTGATGCAGCATGGCCATCCCCACTGCGGAGGTGATTTTTCACTTTGTCTCTCTGGTGAGCCTAGGTACCCTATAGCAAAAATCTCTCTAAAAAAAAAAATGCTGACAAATTTGATGTCTGGTGAGGGTCCTCTCCCTCATAGATAGTGCCTCTGTGTCCTCTTGTGGTGGAAGGAATGGGTGGTCTCTTTCAGGTCTCTTGTAAGGGCATGAACCCTAATCTATGTGAAAGGGAAAAAGAAAAGTAAGAAAGCACCTCCCATAGGGGATGTAATGCTACATTCTCTTCTTCATTTCTTCTTTCAGGATTTTGGGCAAGCACGCACACATCTGGCATGTTTTTCAAGCTGCCGGGTCCATGATTTCAAACGTGTCATGTAGAATCTAGCCTCCTCAACCATGATGCAACTGGCTGGCCCAAGGCATTAATCCCGTTCTTAATCCCATTCAGAAAGACTCCACCTCGTGACTTAATCACTTCCCATGGGCCCTACCTTCTAATAGCATTACTTTGGGGTTAAGATTTTAATATATGTATTTTGAGGACTACATTTAGACCATAGTAGTAGGGAACCTATGAAAATGCTGGGTCTGCTCTGTAAATGATGATCTGGTGTGAGGGTGTATGTGTATGTATGTGTGTGTAGTTGAAATGGCCTCGTGTCCCCCAATACTTCCTTATCTACACATCACTGGGGTCTAAAGCTACACTCCATCATTCCAGGGAGCACCTCTCAGCCTCAACTCCTACCAGACATTCTGAAACCACTCTATGTGTCCTGGGGTCTCTGCTTGCCATCTCCTCACCTTGCTCCAGGTCATCATCTCCCTGATGCTGACCTGCCTACACCACATACTCCCACCTTGGTATATCCTCATCCCTACATACCACAATGTGACAAATTCATTCCATCTGCACCCACAAGCCCCAGGTTGGCTCCCCCAAGTTCTGCTATATGTGGGGTGGAGTTTGACAACAAACACTCATTTCCCTGCTAGGGTGGTATTAATGAGTAGTAGTAATACATGTGTTGTAGTCAAATTAGCAAGAAATAGGACATTTAGACATAGCTAAATTATTGCAGTTTTATTACCAGCAGCTTACAGGAGGACTCATGTCTCTCAAAGACCATGTGGCTCTGAGTGAAAGGAGAGGGGAATTTGTAAAGGCAAAAATCACAATCATTTTTGTATTGACATGGTTATTATAATGGAAAATGAGGAGGGGGTAAAGAGGAAAGGGAGTTGGGTTTTTATGTGAAAGCAGTTACAAAAGCTGAATTAAGTTGGTTAATAATTTTTAAGGCCACTCTCTAGATCTTTGTTTAATGATCTTTATGGCTCTGGGCAGGGGTTTGTGATTGGTAGTTATACTGTTAAGAAACAGCTAAACAAAAAGATTTGGGGCTAGTTAATGAAGACAGTAAGACTATTATTTACTTTATTTTGGGTAAACGGAGGAAGTAAGTATAATGTAAAGTTAAAGATGTAGGTGGTTTTGTTTTATTTTTTATTGGTTTTATGAAAATGAATCAAATCATTGATTCATCTATGGACTGTGGCTAGTATTTTTATGTTTTTTTTAATATTTTAGGGGTGTAGGCAGCTTTTGTAGTTGTGTATAGGGGTTTAGATGTTTATGCTTTTGAGGAGTGTTATATTTTAATATTTTTAATATTATGGATTTACAATTTTAGTAAAGGCAGAAGTAATTGTTATTACTAAGACAATAAGTATATTTTTGTTGGTTAGGGCAAAAGTTTAATGTAAGTTTTTTATTTTAATTATTGTTGAAACAGGCTTACCTTTTGTTTTTTTATTGCAGGAAAGATGGGATTGTCTCAAACTATAGAGGTCTATTTGTAGAGAAATGGATTTTTAGGATGAGTTTGTGTTATTTACTTTTTTCAATTTTTGTCTTAAATTTTCGATGGCTAGTTATTTTTTTTTCAATAAATTGGATAATAAGGAGGATAATTAGAAAATATGGGACAGTCTTAGTTTGAGAGGATTTGGGGAATTTTGGATTTGTCATGTCAACTTTTTTGTTTTTATTTGAGAGTGGTGTAGCCAGACTAGGATGTTGTTGACTTTGACAGCAGTCGGAATGGTGAGGGTGACAATGTAAGGTTTCTTTTAGGTTAGAGTCAGTCTTTGAGTTGTACATTTTTTGACTCACAGTGAGTCTCTTGGTTGGAACCAATGGACAGGGTTTGAGGTGGAGACAGAGTGTTTTGAACAAGGCAGTGAGTGATCTTTTGGGTTAAGTTAAGGGCTTATAAAAGTTTGAGTAAAGTATAGTTATGGGTTTTTTTTTCTAATTTTGGGAGGAGAGGTGGATGTCTTTTAAGCATAATTTCATAAGAGGAAAGTCTCTCCGGGAATAGCGTGTATAAGGCTACTTAAATTAGGCACAAAGTTTTTTTTATTTTTTTTTTTAAATTAGTAAGCTTTGTTTTTTTTAGTTGGTTAATTTGGCGTTTTTGATTTATGATGACTTACTTAAAGGCTTTGGGGACTATTGGTTTGTCATTTGGTAACAGTAACTATTTTTGGATCTTTTAGTAATTTATTGTTGGTGGGCTAATTTTATTTTTTTCTGAGTGTAGGAAGACGGCAATGGGAGAACAGAGTTTGGAGCATTTAGTCATTGGTATAGCTGTCTCCCCTCAGGTTAGGTTTTATCATTTTGTTGTTGTTGTTATATGGTCAGTTAACTTGTTTACTATCTTCAAAAATTTATTTTATGAGTGTACTTTTAGAAATAACCTTAACCTTTGATTTCGACAGAAATTAATTTTAGTTAGTTTAAGGGTTATATGAGGCTTGTTTAGTGAGAATGTTAGATGTCTAAGGGGAGTCGTTGGGGTTTGGGGCTTTATTAATTTTTAATTTTAAAGGTCAGCATGGACTTTAGAGTCTTGCGCTTTTTTTAGAGTTTAGTGTATTTTGGTTTTATAGACCAGCTCTACATTGGGCATGAGGCCCCAGTGGGGGATGTGGGGATGTTAGTTATGGGTATTGTTCAGTGTTTGGGCTGTTTGAGTTAGAAACAGAGTTTCCTTGAGGCAGAGGCTCTGATTTGGGCTGTTTTTAGATTTTTGTCTTAAAGGAAGTTTTTAGTTTTTAGGATTATCACAAGTGACTATTGAGTGTTGCTTAAGTGAGAATTAAATGGAAGGTTAAGGTGTTTTGTCAATTTGTTATAATTTTTTGAGTCATTTGAGAATTTTTATATATTTGTTCTGAACTGTAAGAGATATTATACTGATGGGGCCGGCAGGTGGCATGGTGGTTAAAGACATGGGACTCACACATAGCCAACTGTGGTTCAAGTCCTGGATCTGGTGGCTTGCTTTCTCACTTTCTCTCTCTCCCTCTCTCTCTCTCTCTCTCTGGTCAAATTAAAATAAATAAATAAATAAAGTTAAATAAAATATTTTTAAAAAAAGAATTTACAACTGGTAAAGAAATTTGGTTATATATCAGTTTAACATAATAACTTACAACATGACTGACAAATATTTTACCATAAATTTTTGGGAATTTTAAATTATTTTGGAACACATATCACATATTTATATATAACTTAAATATAATGTCAAAAAATTAGAATTACTTAATTTGACATTTTATTTTATTTTTATTCAACATATAAAGAATAAATCTGATTAGTTTAACATTTTTCTTTGGGATGTTTTAGGAGGAATGGCAGGGAACGAGGATTCCTGCCTGTCGTAGCCAGCTGATAGGTACACAGGGATGCCCTTCCTAGCTTTAGGCTCATAAGACAGTGTTTTACCCTGGCTGGGGAGGCCAGCTCCTGTACTGCCACTGGGGGCTGATGACTGGCTAACTCCAGGGGGTTATTTTTTTGTCCAGATGTTTAGAAAGTGGAACTGTTATTTTGTCAGATAAGGATCTTTTTAATGCTGTCCCTGAGGGGTTTTTTGTTTTTTGTGGGCTTTTTGTTTGTTTGTTTGTTTGTTTTCAGGAATAATAAAAAATATAAGAAAATAGTTCCTTAAAAACACTGACATTGGAGCTCTGTTACTAAGACAGCAAAATAGTAAAAAAAAAAAAAAAAGTTTGAGAACAAGAGTGAAAGCTTTTGCACATCTTACTAGATAGACTAGTTTTTAGAACAGATGCCACCCGTATTCAGCTCTACCAGTATTCTCACAAACGGAACTCTTTTTTTTTTTTTTTAACAAAGACGTGACTCAAGAACTACAAGTAGATACAGTCAAAGGAAGGTGAGGTCCACACTTCTCTCTCTGGACTGACTCATACGGAGGATCTGAATCAAACAGCTGTCTCCACTTAGACGGTGTCCAAGTCTCTGGGGACGGGAACTCGGGCATCTGTGTATGTCTAAGCTCCCCAGGTGACCACGTGCAGCGCAGTAGCAGGCACCGCACCAGCAGCAGGGGCAGCTCCTCAGCAGCTCCTTGCTCATCAAGCCCTGCGAGGCAGGGGGCTCTCTCCAATGCTCTTTCACTTGGCTCAGGAATGCTGCCCTACGTTATCAATTTTTAGTGTAATTTTGAGCCTTTCCATATGCTTTGATGATTTTCAGAGCGATATTTAATCAGGAAAATACGAGCAAAGAGAGACAAGATGAAAAAGGACATTTCCCTAAGGCATGATATGAATAAATAAGTGAAAAAACAATCTCAAGTGTAAGAGTAAAGCATGAGAAGTCAAAACCTGTGAAATTTTATTCATACAAAAGAATAAAAATGTCTATTTTTAAAAGGACTGATTTAAACTTATGTTTTAGCTTTTCCTGCTCCTTGAACACGAAACTCCTTCTAACACCGAGAGATTCAAGATAGAAAAGGTAGTTATTAAATAAAGACACTTCACCTTCCCCCTGCAAAGAAAACAGGGAGCCAGGTTCCCCATTTTACTTATTGTAAACCAGATTCTTCTCAGTTAAGAATATTGGCAACTGGGAACCAGCAGTTAGCATAATGGCTATGTCGCTGGACTCCCACGTAGTCGACTGTGGTTCGTGACACGGACTCGGTGGCTTAAAATTCACGCCGGGCGCGTGTGCGTGTGTGCCCAAGATCCCGAGAGGAGAATGGAGGAGAAGGGATTGCGGCGTAACCATCCCCCCTGGGGGGTGATTTCTCGCTTTCTGTCTCTATGTCTCTCTCTGTCTGTCTGGCGAGCGCACGCGCCCTACAGTGAAAAATCTCAAAAAAAAAAAAAAATATTGGCAACTGCATGAAACAGATGACCAGATAGGTCAGCCGGAACGGATGAGTTGTACACAAGCATGAAGAAAGTTTCAAAAGAAAATAAGATGGTAAAAACAACATAAAAAAAAATAACAAAACACAAAACCAAATAAGAAAATGCCAGATTATCTCCAGCCCCCATCTGAAATGAGACTTGGTTCCACTTTCAGCTAAAACAAAAGCAGAGAGCATTTTTCAATGGGTATCACAGATGAAGTGGGTGCCAGCCGGGTGGGGGAGACATTCATTCTAAGAAGTGCGGATAGCAACACACAGGGCTCTAACCACGTCTGGGTCTTCCTGCAATTCTGGTACTAACAAGGACACAAAGTAAATGACCCGATGCCTTACAGGAAGGACTTGTCACCGCGTGTGGAACCAACTACTCAGGCGCAGGCACCGGGTCTGGGAGAGCAGGGGTGGAGGCCACACACTCAGGTGAGGGGTGTGTCTCTGTGAGGTCGCAGAGGGAAGCAGGGCTCCACAGCGTGGAAGCTTCTGCCCTAAGGTATCTTCTAATGGTCAGCTCCTGGCTTTTTGTGTAACTTCAGATCAATCCTGTGCCGGTTTTTATTCCTTTGCCTTTTATGGCTGCTGTGATGACTCCCCGAGGAAGGAGAAGCAGCAGCCTCTGAGGTTTCACTCCCTGCACAGATCCATCCAGATCCTCAGCGTCCTCCTGGCTGGGTTCGGTTTCCTGACTGTGGCAGTCTGGGGAAGTATCGCTCTCTGTCCCACTTTCTGGTTTCCTCTTTCCTGGGAGTCGGTCCCGAACACCTGCCAATGCACTCACTGCAGCTGCTGACGTAACGGAGGCTCAGCTGTCTTAAACTTCCAGTTCCTGCGATTATTATCCTCCTTTCTGTTGGAGGGTATTTTTTGGGGGGTTAGTCAGATACAGGTCCCAGCCACGAGTGATATTGCCATACATCGGAGTGTCTTCCAGGTAGCTTCCTAGGAAACAGAGGACCCAGCTTCCAAGGACAGAGGGGCCTGCCTGTCAAGAAAGAGGAGTAGCCCTTCCCCACCTTCCTCCCAAGACGGTGACATTAGACAAACAAGGGAAGGGTGCCCCCTCCAAGGAGGTGACCATTCAGGTATCCACCAGGCCATGTCCCTCACTGGAATTAGGTGCCTGTTAGCTCTGGTAATGGATACAAACCCTCCGCTTGGATTGGGACCACAGGGAACAAGATTGTTGCCCAGGTCCCAGTACCACCCTTAACAGTATGAGGTCACTATGGACCCGCAGGTGAGGACCCACTCAGACTCTATAGCCAAGGCCGTGGAGCCATGAACACAATCATGCAGTCACTCATTCGCTATTCACACAAGAAGCTAAAAGCATTCCCTCCCACCAAGTATAAAATGAAGAAGAGAAGAAAGACAAAGAGATCAAATTTAGTAGGATGAAGATCTTGGAAAGCTCTCTGATAGACAAGATCAGTTATCCACTGACAGATGTCCTGAAAGGAGGAGGACACAGGATAGAACCAAGTGATATCTTCTAGGAGGGTTTGGAGGAAATATTTTTAATGCCATGATAGCAGAAAGGACCCATAAAAGAGAACTCATTTGTTGGGAGGTCCTTAAACCCCTGAGCTAACAAAATACGCTGGTAGGTGTTGTCTACCTAACTCCTGATTCCAGCAACATCTTGGTGGGATCTGAGTAGGGGTTCTTTAACTGTGTCCAGTCAGCCCTGGACTCTAACCAGGGGGTGCCTTCCACATCAACTCCATACTCACCAATTGACCAGTCTCGCAGAAGAATAGAAGAGAGACAGAAACACAGAAAGAAAGATTCCTCCAGAGGTCTTTTACTAGCACTCCACAATTTTGAAGGAGCAGTTGGAGTTTCCTACCTGGCTGTCAATAATCCTGAAAAGTGGTTCGGGGGCCCTGGAAAGTCCCAGGTGGTGCCTCCCCTAGAGTTCCTTCAGGTATTTTGCAGCTGACCTGGGCAAGGCCATTCTCCTTGGATGCTTCACCTAAGTACTGGTAGGAACTAATCTCGCTGGGGCCTTCAAATGTTGTAGTCAAATTAGCGAGTAATAAGAGGACATCCAGACATTGGCAAATTATTGGAGTTTATTGCTGGTGGCTTACAGAAGGACTCATGTCTCTCAAAGACACTGCAACCCCAAGTGACAGGAGAGGGGAGCTTATAAAAGCAAAAATCACAGTCATTTTTTGGGTTGACATGGTGATTACAATGGAACATGAGGAGGGGGAGAAGAAAGGGAATTGGGTTCCTATGTGAAAGCAATTACAGAAGCTGAATCAAGCAGGTTAATAATTTCTAAGGGCACTCTCCAGACCTTTGTTTAGTGGTCCCCATGGCACTGGGCAGGGGTCCGGTGATTGGTAGTTACATTGCTAAGGAACATCTAAACAAAAAAGTTTTAGGCTAGTTAACAAAGACAGTAAGACTATTAAATCACCTATTTACTCTGGGCAAAGGAAGAAGCAAGTATAATGTAACGTTCAAAGATGGAGGTGCTTCTGCTTCACATGCCCAGCTAGAAACTTTGGGCCAGAAAAATGTGAGTCAACAAGAGAGTGGCTTATATATTTTTTTAACTTTCTAGAAGGCTGGAAATAAAAATATATCTCTTGGTTGGTCTCCAAAGCAGAGGCTGAGGGTTCTGCCTGGACACTTTTGGGTATGCTCATTCTGGCTGGGGCTGAAATACTGTGCTAATATTTGCTAATTCCCTTACTGTACTCACTAGGCTTTGTGCAAAGCTTGCTAGGAAAGGAACCGGGAATGAAGTGTTGGGCCAAGCTGACAGAGCTTAAAGCTCAAAATTTTAACAATATATGGAGTTTTTATGCCTGTGCTATTTCCCTCCAGTTCTGCTTTTCTGGCCTTTTATTATTATTATCAGAGTGATTATGAATTTCAGTCCAATTTAGTTCAAGTAAGATGTCAAGATGTGGACTAGCAGATGGTGTAATGGTTAAATCATTGGACTCCCATGTAATTGACCATGGTTTGAGTCCCGGATCCGGCAGCTTAAAACAAGCTGAGTGCGTGTGCATGTGTGCCCAAAATCCTGAGATGAGAATGGAGGAGATGGGATTGCAGTGTGGCCATCCCTTCTAGGGGGTGATTTCTCACTTTCTGTCTTTCTGTCTCTCTCTGCCTCTCCGGTGAGTGCACATGCCCTATAGCCATAAATAAATAATGTCAAGATGCTCTGGTGGAAAAGTGTGGAGAACAACTGTGGATACTAGACATGGTTGTGGGAGGAGGGTGGGAAATGGGCGGGGGCAAGGGTGAAAGGAAGAGAATTAAGGAGAAAAAAGTGAAACATTTAACAGACACAAAAATGGAAAATTGTTGACAGTAATATTTATGATAATATCTCTGACTAGACTAACATACAGTGTTTTCATGCTGGGGAAAAAAATAAAGATGTCAAGATGCTTTGTCATAATCACTTCCTAGCAAGTGTCTTCAGCTTCCTTGCTTTTCTCTTCCTCCGTCAGTCTCTCTTGGCATAGCCCTAACTGTGAATAAAACCAACTGCTTTCTTCTCCACATCTTCCCACGAGCAGCTGAACGTTGCTGGAGAAAAACCACACAACTAGACTGACTGGTTTTACTCTAATAATCGCAAACAAATACAGGTACACTCAACACTGCCCAGCAATCTCAGAAAACCTCCAGTGCTTTTACCGATTCACATAGCCTGATAACCATTTTATACTTTTGCTTCTGTGTTTACAACTCACCCCTCCGCAGATGAGATCTTACCTTATGCTTCATCAAGAGAATAAAAGTCCTAAAACCAGAGATCTCATCCTTTGGTCAACACTTCATTCCTGGTTCCTTTACTGGTGAACTTTTCCCAAGGCCTAGCAAGCACAGCCGGGACTTTACAAACACCAGCATTGTATTTCAGCCCTAGCCAGAACAAGCGTGCCCAGAAGCATCCAGACAGAACCCTCAGCCTCTGCTTTGGGGACCAACCAAAGGGTCAAAACGACAAACTTCTGGGTCAGCAGGTGGCATGGTAGCTAAGGTGCTGGACCCCCACGTGGCTGACTGCTGCTTTCTTTCTCACTTTCTCTGTAGCTCTCTGGTCAAATTTAAAAATAATAATAACAAATAAAGATAAATAAGCAATTCTCTAAAAAAAAAAAAACCTACGAACGTCTAGGCATCTATATCCATTTTCTCTCTTCTTTCTGTCATAATAGAGGAAGCACCTCCTTCTGCCAAACGTTTACATAAATGGGTTGCATTTCTTCCGTCTTTTTTTAAAAACAAACAAACAAAAAACAAACAAACAAAAAAACACTTTACTTATTTATTTAATTGGAACAGAGTGAGAGAGAGAAAGCAAGCGGCCAGGTCTGGGACTCAAACCACAGTTGGCCATGAGGGTGTTCAGCACCTTTAACCACCATGCCACTTTCCAGCCCCTCTTCTAACTTTCTTAAGCTACTCATATTATTTCTTTTCTCCAACATAATTGACTTCTTCCATATCAACTAGAATGCTTTCCACTGTTGGTAAAAATGAGACCTTACCTTATGCTTCGTCAAGAGAATAAAAGCCATAAGACTAGAGATCTGTGGAATGGAGGCCCCTGCTTCAGTTGTCTTCCAAGTTCCATATGTTCATGTGCTCTGGGGTCTCCTGGATGTTTCCGTTGGCATCACAAATTCAATGTGTTCCAAACTGGCCTCTTGATTTCTACCTGAGGCAGATGCTTCTAGCTATATTTTCCTTGGTTCCCTGCTGGCAAGAATCCCCATGTTGTTTTGAATAGTAGCAAGTCTAGCTAAAAAATTATGTTAGCTAAACTCCCGTAATGTTAGACATGATCACATGGCAATTCTTTCAAAAGATATAAATAGGAGTTACTAGATAGAGCCTTTAGAAAAGCTTTTTAAGGAGCCAACAGGTGGTATGGTGGTTAAGGCACTGGATTCCCATTTGGCTGACCACAGTTTGAGTCTACCCAGACCTGGTAGCATCACATCCAAAATCCTGAGAGGAGAAAGGAGAAGGGATTGTGATGTGGCCATCCCCTTTGGTGGTGGTGGTGGTGGTGCTGGGGATAATGGTGATTTCTTTCTCTCTCTCTGCACGTGCAGTCAAAATCCCAAGAGAAGAATGGAGAAGGGACTGCTACATGGTCATACCCCCTGGGGGAGTGCTTTTTCACTTCTCTCCCTCTCTGTCTCTCTCGGGTGTACATGTCCGACTATCAGGTTGCCCGAAAAGTCAATACGCATTATTACACAGAAAAAATACATCATAACTTTTCAGATAACCCAATAAAAAAGAAAAGAAAAGAAAAGAAATCTAAGGGTCCGCCCTGTGGCATAATGTTAAGGCAGATAGCTCTCACATAGCCAACCGTGGCTTAAATCCTGTCCTGGTGGCTTGAAAAGCATGTCTGTCACATGTGCATGCAGGCATACCCAAAACCCCAACAGGATGGAGAAATGAAGAGATTGTGGCGTGGCCACACACTACTGAGGGTGGTGATTTCTCTCTCTCCTTCCGTCTGTTGCTCTGTCTCTCTCTGGTGAACTCATACACACTATGACATTTTTTTCAAGAAGTCAGGAGAACTGATCCTCCCCGCCCCATTTTTTTCTACATAGAACATGCACAGATGAAGCGCAGCCACTTTGTGATCATGAGGTCCACAGGCTAAGCATGAAAAAGGGTTAAGTTAGAATGACCCTGGAATGGGGTGGGCAGGTAGCGTGGTGATTGAGGGTGCTGGACTCCCACATGGTCGACTGCGGTTCAAGTCCAAAACCAGCAGCTTGCTTTCTCATGGCCCCCACCCCTGCCCCCGTCCCCAGAACTCTGTCCCTCTCTGGCCAAATGAAAGAGAGAAAGAAAGAAAGGAAGAAAGAAAGTTAAATAAAAAAATAATAATAATTGTTCAAAAAAAGCTCAAGTTTCCAAACTGGTCTTTTGATCCAAGATCTCTGGAAAACAGAGATCCCAACATTATTTCTGGATTGTTACATAAGAAAAATGACCACTTTATTTGTTTAACCCCCTATGTATATGCAACTGAACGAAGCCTGAGCTATATACCACTCAAATCTATTTTCTCCTAGTCTTTCCCATTCTCAGTATTTGGGACTTTTATCCCTACATCCAAAGACCTGGAAGACCTCTATAATTTTCTCTCTAAACACTCCATCCTGAACCCAATCTGTCGGCAAGTACCACTGAATATCCTCCAAAATATTCCCTCTTCATGCCCTTTTGTCTTTATCACCCCTGCTTCTATCGTGTTCAAGACACCAGTAGCTCCCAAAATAAACTGGTCTCCTACACTCTACAATCTTTCACTATCTAGCAGCTAGACAAACTTTTAAGTGCAAACCAAATCATTAAATACATTCTGATGTGTTTTTGTTGGCGTTTGCTCTGGACTTAGCTTGATTTAAGAGGAAGCAGAAAGAAAGAAACAAAGAGACAGAGGAGCAGTGAATACAGGGAATCTGAGCCTAAGCAGCCAAGCAACCTGCACTGCCCAGGCAAACTGAGCGCCTTTATGTATAGGGCAAAGCAAGCTATATACGTGTAGTTTGTGACATTCCACGGATAAGTTGATGCTTTACAGACAATAGGAAGTAGGTAACAAATCTATAAGGATTTAGCGATATTGGGACAGGCATACTTCTGGGTTACATCTATATCGAAGAGAAATCCCCATAAACTTTTTATCTAGTGAAGAGACACCTAGTTGCAGGTGTGGGGAGGATACTTTCTTTTATTTTTTTGAGAGGTTTTCACTATAGGGCACATGCGCTCGCCAGACAGACAGAGAGAGACATAGAGACAGAAAGCAAGAAATCACCCCCCAGGGGGGATGGTCACGCTGCAATCCCCTCTCCTCCATTCTCTCTCGAGATCTTGGGCACGCGCGCACACGGGCCCGGCGTGAGTTTTAAGCCACCAGGTCCGGGACGCAAACCGCGGTCGACTACGTGCGAGTCCAGCGACATAGCCATTACGCTAACTGCTGGTTCCCGGAGGATACTTTCTTACAAACATCAAAGGGGTGTTGATAAGGCTAGAGACTTACAGAGGCAGAGTAGGGGTTGGACTTTCCTAATTGGGGTCAGGATGTTTCCTGAATTCCATCAGATGTATCTGTGGAGGGCCCCTGGAAAATTTTACCCTTTGGTCTGCTGTAGTAAGGAAAAGACAAGCTGAAAACTTTTGCTATAGTTCAAAGGAGCAGGTGATGTTTGCTCAGAGCATGTCCCCACATCTTCAGGGCTTTTCTCTGAATGTGTTCCTACATGTTTTTCTTCAGCCGATTCTAAATCTGTGTGCCATTCCTCCACCTCCACCCAACCACTTCATCTTGCCAAGGTAGCTTTCATTCCATTCATGTCTTCCAACAAATGGGCTTAAAAATTATTATTTATTTAATTTACTATTATTATTATTTAATTTGCTACAAGGCATATGCACTCACGAGAGAGAGAGAGAGAGAGAGAGAGAGAGAGAGAGCGCCTCCAGGACTCAAATCATAGTTGCCCATGTGGGAGTCCTGCACCTTAACCACATGCTGCTTGCTGGTTCCCAAATAGGCTTTTACAACCTCATTGCCTTTAAACATACTGTTTGTCTAGAATATTCTCTTTTTGCCTGACTGGCTCATTCTCACCCATTTAGGTTTCAGCCTAAGTGTCAATCATCAGAATCCTCCCCAGTCTTTCCTGTTTTGCTTTATCGCTGCACCTTTGCACAGCAAAGGTGTGATTATTTATTTGGTTACTTGATTGTACCTATGTTCCCATGATCCATGTAAACAAAAGCGTCTATCTTGTTCACCGCTGTATTCCAGTGCCAGCCTCCAGTCTGATACACACCGAGCACCTAATTCAGATTCACTGAGTGTAAGACTCTTTCCTCATTAACCAGCTCTACCAGTTTGGAAGCAGACCTGCTGAAATTTCATGAAATCATGATTTTTCTTAGCAAGGGCTTCAGAGAAATTGGTTTTGATTCTTCATGTAGCCAGGGGCCCTATTTGAGAATTCTCATTACTTATATAACAAGATGAACTTTTTCGCCCCTCTAAAAAGAACCGTAATTTCTCTGAGAAAAGAGTCTAGTAAAAAGTTTGCAAAGGCTACTTACGGAGTTGAGGTGTTGAGCCTCTTCAGAAAGCAGGTGTCAGCAGATACTAAAACCTCATTGAAGGAAATGAACTGCTCCACCTAAGAATTTGGGCGTCTGCATTTTGGAAGGAAAAAGGAAGAGTACAGAGAATGGCTCTGGATCTCGTAAAGAATCCTTCCTCATGGACTCCTTAGCACTGGCAAAGTCATAAAATATTTCTAAATGTTGGAATAAATCAATTTTATTTTTTGTGGGAACTGGTAAAAGGGATAAATACCTTATCACAGTTATCTTGGGACAAAACAGAGCATGCCAATAAAAATTACTAGAATGAAACAAAAAATAGAACAAAGCAGGAGGAGAGAAGCTCAGGAAGCTCATGGATGTTGTGGAAGGACTTTGGACTGCCCCAGGACATGAAGCTACCATTGCATCCAGGTTTAATCAGCTCTCTAAAGACCACAAGAGCCATCTGCAGTTGCCTTTGGATTATATTTTGGTTTACTTTGCCAGGTCAGGGCATTGTTTGGATACCAGCTCTTAGTCATGCTGAACTGTGAAGTGGGAGTTATTTCTTTTTTTTTTTTTTTTCCTCTTTTTTTTCTTTTTTGGAGAGGTTTTTTTTTTTTTTGCTATAGGGCGTGTGCGCTCGCCAGATAGACAGAGAGAGACAGAGAGACAGAAAGCGAGAAATCACCCCCCAGGGGGGATGGTCACGCCGCAATCCCTTCTCCATTCTCCTCTCGGGATCTTGGGCACGCACGCACATGCGCCCAGCGGGAGTTTTAAGCCACTGGGTCCAGGACCCGAACCGCGGTCGACTACGTGGGAGTACAGTGACATAGCCATTACACTAACTGCTGGTCCCCTGGGAGCTATTTCTTAATGCAGTCTTATCTACTAGGTTTTGTTAGTTATGTGAGAGGGGCAAGAATAAGTAGAACTTGTCGGTTTGAATTACTTAATGAATTACTTAAATTTCTTGGATTTCTATCCAAGAAAACTTGGGTTTCTATCTAGAGAATTGGGGACGGTTTAGGGGGAATGTTTCAGTGACTCTCAGTGGTGTCTCAATATTTCCATTGAAAGTAATTTAGAATTATCTATTGATAGATGTGAGACAAAGAAATCTGTAGAAAAATAATGTTTTATAAATAAGAGGCTCAAAGCTCACAAAGAACAGTTTGTAGTCAAAAGGAAAAAGAAAGTGTATAGTGCTAGCTACTTATATCTCATTTTATATGTCTCTTGGACTCATCCCCATGTTCCAGCATGGTTGACCTCTAGCAAAGAAAAAAATAAAAGCTTAAACAAGAGATTTTGCTGAACTCTGTGACATACTGGGTAGCCTTGTTACTGAGCAGCTTCTATTTTTTTCTTTCTTTTTTTGTCTTTTAGGTTTTTGCTATAGGGTGTATGTATTCACTAGAGAGAGACAGAGAGAGGGGAAGTGAGAAATCACCCCTCAAGGGTGATGGCCACACCATAATCCTTTCTCCTCCATCCTCCTGGGATTCTGGACACAAATACGTATGTGGTTTTCCAGCTGCCAGATCTGGGACTGGAACTGTGGTAGACCACGTGGGAGTCCAGCGCCACCTGCTGGCCCCTGTTACTGAGCAACTTTGACAGGGATGGGAAATGGCCCCAGTGACTTTCAGCGTATTGGAAACATTGGGATTCAACTGCCCTAAAACTGGAAGTTGGCAAGAGAGTAAACATATACAGAGACTCATGATACACCTTTGCCACCATACACATCCATGGGGCATTATATATAGAGAGAGGACTCCTCTCGGCCGAAGGAAAGACAGTTAAAAATAAAAAAAAGAAATCTGCCGATTATTAGAAGCAGTCTGGGAGCTAAAGGAAATGGCAGTCATATATTGCAGAGGACCGCAGAGAGGGGAGAATCCTGTCACTCTGGGAAACTGGTTAGCAGACCAGGCAGACAAGGCTGCCACCAACCGAACCCCAACTGCTGTAATCAGAGTGTTACAACTCACAAGTCTCCCAGAAGTGCCTCCCCCGCCCCGCCCCATGCCCACACCGAACATTGTTGGGCAAAATCAGAGGGAGCCACTCTGGAGGGAGATGGATGATGGAGACCACCAGATAAAAGACTCTGCATACTCCAGTCCTTAGGATATCTGTTGGTAATTCAGTACCACGTGCTGACTCACTGGGGAAAGACTAACCTGGAGAGCTTACTGGGCCAATACTACTTCTTGAGTCGCCTACCATCACTGTGTGCAGCTGTGAGCACTTGATGTGAGACCTGCGTTAGATATAACCCTGCCCAGAGGCCAGCTTGGCCAGCTGGAATACAAGCCACTGGGACAACTCCTCTGGAGTTGCAAACAGCAGACTTCTCCGTGTCAGGGCTTTAAGTACTTACTGGTCTTGTCTGCACTTCCTCAGGTTGGGTGGAAGTCTTCCCTAGGTGAACTGAAAAGGCCAGAGAAGTTACTCCAGCCCTTCTGCAGGAAGTTAGACCTTGATTTGGGCTCCCCCTTATGGTCGGGTCAGATAACGGCCCTGCTTTTGTGGCAGAAGTCACATAGGGAGTAACAAAGACCTTAGGTATAAAATGGAAATTTCACACTGCTTACTGACTTCAGAGTTCTGGGAGAGTGGAGCAAATGAATCATACCCTCAAGTTCACCCTAACGAAGCTTTGTCAGGACACTGGGCATCCCTGGGTGGATGTCCTACCACTGGCCCTGCTCCAAGTACAATGCACTCCACAGAAACAGGGTTTATTCTCCTTATGAGATTCTATTTGGCCGGCCACTCCCTTTAGTCACCCGGGCCCAAATGGCTGATGTCCATCAGCTGGGCAAGGCAATCCTGACACAGAACCTGGTGGTCTTGGGGAAAACTTGGAGGAAATAGCCCATGTAGCCTTAGGAAGAACCCCTGCCCCCTTGAAACTGGGTATACAAACATGAGGCCAGGGACCTGGTGTGGGTTAAAAATTGAAAAAGAAAATCACTACAGCTACCTGATTGGGCCATATGTTATTGTGCTTGTTACCCCCACTGCAGTTAAGATTGCAGGGCTGGGGGGCTGGCAGGTGGCATGGTGGATAAGGGCACTGGACTCCCACATGGCTGACCATGGCTCAAGTCCTGGACCTGGAGGCTTGCTTTCTCACTTTCTCTCTTTCTCTCTCACTCTGTCCCTCTCTGGTCAAATAAAAATAAATAAATAAAGTTAAATAAATAATTCTTTAAAGAAAGAGGTTGCATGGCTGGCCCCTTGGATCCCATAAACTGTGTCTAAGGGACCAGCAGTTGGCTATGTCTCTGGACTCCTATGTAGTCGGCTGTGGTTTGAGTCCTTGACCCAGTGGCTTAAACTCATGCCGCCTGCATGTGCGTGTGTGCCCAAGACCCTAAGAGGAGAATGGAGGAGAAAGGATTGTGGCGTGGCCATCCTCCTGATGGCTTGCTTTCTCACTCTCTTTTCCTCTCTCCCTCTCTCTGTTCCTCTCTGGTCGAATTAAAAAATAAGTAAGTAACTAAATAAAGTTAAATAAAATAATTTAAAAATATATATGTGTGTGTATATATAAAGAGTTGTTTTTAAAGAAAGAAAGAAGTTGAAGATCTAGGACCCATTGGACAAAGCAGGGCAACCCGGGCTGCAAACAACCAGGTACTCACGCTGGGATTTCTGCAGAGTCATTTCAGGGGTGGAAGAATATGAACGAAAGGTTAAATGTGCCAGGCTATATTCTGGACCAAAAAGTCAAGGAAAATGAAAATCAGATTATGTAGAGTTTCAAGGTAGGGACTGTATGGGTTAGAAGCCAGAAGCTCTGACACTTATGATTAAATTATCCCAAATTCAGGCCAAGATTTTGGCAGGGTACTATCGAGGAAGCATGAACTAGGTTTCCCACCCTCCCAGCAATGAACTGATGGCACGAAGTATAGTTATCTGCTGCATGATGACATCTCTGATCAGTGACCAACCACATATATACTGGTGTGGAGCAGTAGGCTCTACCGTATGGTCTGGGTGCATAGTCAGCTATACCTTCAAGGTTTGTGTAAGTACACTATGATATTTACACAATGACAAAATTGTCTAATGATATGCTGCTTCTTTTTTTTAAGGTTTTTACCATAGGGCACATGCACTCAGTGGACAGAGACAGACAGAGGAAGAGCGAGAAATCACCCTCCAAGGGAGATGGTCATGTCACAATCCCTTCTCCTCCGTTCTCCTTTTGAAATTCTGGGCATGCACACATGTACTCGGTGTGATTTTCAAGCCACCGGATCAGCCATATGGAAGTCTAGAGCCTTAACCACCCTGCCACCGGCTGCAACACACTTCTTACGTGCCGCATGATTGTATTACCTATTCTGCCTTGATCGGCCTGGCTGGTCTCAGACTACACACACAGTGATAAACTGCACAATGTGATTCTCTGACTCCTCATGACTCTTGTGATCCTTGTCTGATGTTTTTCAACTTTAGCTTTTTTGCAGAGTTTCAGAAAGAGAGAAAGAGGCATTTATAGGTTTGAATGTGAACCAGATGGCTTTCCCATTTGAAGAGCAAAAAGAGAAAAAATAGAAAGCAATACCTTCTGTGCAAAAAGAACAAATGGGAAAGTTAGATATGGAATTATTACCAACATGTCCTCTTTTGCAGTATAAAATGTCTTGAAAAGTTAAAGCTAATCTTGTCAGCTCTACAGAGTATGTTCTTTAATTTTCTTTTCACATATATATATTTTCAGACTTTTTGCTCTATGGTACGTATGCTCACCGGGAAGAGAGAAAGCCAGAGAGGGAAAGTAAGAAACCACTTTTCCCAGTAAGGACAGCCAGGGCACAATCCATTCTCTTCCATTCTCCTTTCAAGATTTTGGACACACACATACACACAAATGCCCAGTGTGATTTTCAGGCAGCCAGGTGGATTCGAACTCCACAGATGGCCATGTGGAATCCAGCACCTTAGCCTCCACACCACCTACAGGCTCCTCTTTTTATATATTTTAATAAAATAATTTAGTCCTTTTCTTTCTATCTTGTAGAAAATCAAGACTTTTGTATTGTGTTCAAAATGATTAAGTCAACAATGCAATGTTATTTTATTTGTAAAATCTTCAGGTAGAAATACCTAGACTCACAGTTGCAGACGTTTTCCTGTCTGGTAAAGAGATCGTGGACAGTTTATATACTGTTGCTCTTAATTATGTAAGACCAGACAGGCATGGTCAGTGATGATCACAATGTTAGTGAACAAATTAAATTTCCTATGACAAACAAAGATGATAAATTTGAGCAACCAAATCCGTTTTCCTTTAATAAGTATAATTATCATTTTAATTATGGAATTATAACTTCTGTGGTTAGAACACCATAGACCAGCACTAACCTTACTTAGCAAACATTTACAAAGCACTTCAATTGTTTACAAGAGATAGAGCTTTATAAATTTTTTTTTTTTAGAGAGATTTTTTCGCTATAGGGTACATGTGCTCACCAGAGAGACAGAAAGTAAGGTATCACCCCCCCAGGGGGATGCCCATGGCTGCACTCTCTTCCCCATCCTCCTCTCAGGATTTTGGGCACGCATGCACTTGTGTTCATTATGAGTTTTAAGGCACTGGGTCTGGGACTCATACCATGGTTGGCTACATGGGAGACCAGCAATGTAACCATTATGCCATCTGCTGGCCCCAAGCTTTATAAATTTGAACTAGACAAATTTTACATCCTTTGGCTGAAAATTCTTTGTCTTTGTCATTGATGTTTCTGAAATTCCCAAATGTAAGCAAACCTTATGTTAATAAACCACCACATTCATAAATCACACTGATATGTAGGCTGTCACCCCAATCCAACCAAGACACAAAATGATACCCAAACCAACACCTTCAGTACCGACGTTGGCCACATTCACAGTAACATCAATACTTGTAGTGGTAGTGGCAACCATGACACCCGCCACAGGCATGGTAGTATAGCTCGCCCTCCTGGCAAATGCAGCCACAAGAATTATACTACAGTGAGGTGGAGCAGCCAAGACAACCTGGTGACAGAACATACTACTGTATGCCCCTATGGGGCAGTTCTTATGGTGACCTCATTTGAAATTGTAGATTGGTATGGCCTGGGTAATACAAATACTGCATCGTCAGGAAAGTCATGACGTATTTTTGCATGGACTTTCCCGATGACCTAATGTTTACTAGAATAAACATCTTTGTGCAAACAATTCTCTTCTATATTTTCGATTATTTCCTTAAGATAAAGAAGTATTGAGTCAAAGGGTTTGAACACTTCCTGGGAATTGAAACATTGTCTGAGCTGTTGTACTGTAGGTACCAGAGTCATCAAATTGTTTTGCAAAAAGTTATCCCAGTCATTGGGAACCAGCAGTTAGCGTAATGGCTATGTCGCTGGACTCCCACGTAGTCGACCGCGGTTCGCGTCTCGGACCCGGTGGCTTAAATCTCACGCCGGGCGCGTGTGCGTGTGTGCCCAAGATCCCGAGAGGAGAACGGAGGAGAAGGGATTGCAGCGTGACCATCCCCCCTGGGGGGTGATTTCTCGCTTTCTGTCTCTATGTCTCTGTCTGTCTGGCGAGCGCACGCGCCCTATAGCGAAAACCTCTCCAAAAAAAAAAAAAAAAAGTTATCCCAGTCACTAATTATGTAGCTCTGAGAAGTGTGAGCTGCCTTGTGTCATCAGCCTTGCTAAAACTGGCTATTGTGAATGTTAGAATCTTTCACAATTTCATCACATGATAACCTGTGGTTAATATTCATAATATATGCCTTGATTACTAGTCAAATTAAGTCTTTCCATTTTTTAAGATTTTTGCCATTGGACATGTGCATTCACTGGAGAAAGACAGAGTGAGAAATCACCCCTCAGCGGGGATGGCCATGCTGCAGTCCCTCCTCCTCCGTTCTCCTCTTGGGATTTTGGGCATACCCACACATGCACCTGGTGTGATTTTCAAGCTGCTGCTCCCATGGAGTTTAAGCAACCGGGTCCAGAACTTGAACCGTGGTCGACTACATGGGAGTCCAGCGACATAGCCATTACACCAACTGCTGGTCCCAAGGTTTATGTTTTCTCTAGGCTATTTTTTTTTTTTTTTAATGTTTCACGGGACCAGCAGATAGCGTAATGGCTATGTCACTGGACTCCCATGTAGTCGACCGCAATTTGAGTCCCAGACCAGTGGCTTAAATTCACGCCGGGCATGTGTGCGTGCGTGCCCAAGATCCTGAGAGGAGAAAGGAGAAGTGATTGCAATGTGGCCATATCCCATGAGGGGTTATTTCTTGCTTTCTGTCTCTCTGTCTCTCTCTGTCTTTCTGGTTAGTGCACGCGCCCTATAGCAAAAATCTCTCTCTCTCTCTCAAAAAAAAAAAAAAAAGTGTTTCACTCCTGAATTATGAGGAAGGCTAGGGACATTTTCAACCATTATAAACTGTGGAATTTAGCCTGTAGACATCTGCGACAGACTATGCAGAAATGGGTGGTGCCCTCTGGTGGATAATTTGGGGACTTACATGGTCTCCAATGAGTGCATTGGAACCTGTTGAGGTACAGACCCCAGATATTCGTGCAACATTTTTCTGTCTCTAGTGGTCACCAAACACTCAGCTGGCTTCTATATCTATGGCTACCTCGTGGGTCCAGGATGTAAGCTTGGAGCTGTGTGAAGTTTCTGCTTGTCCCAAATAAAACACCAGAGGAGTGGGAGAATCAGAAAATGGGTTTTTCCACAAAAATGAGTGGACTGAAGAGTAAAGGGGAGTGGAAGTGAAAAAAACTAGAGCTAATACAGATAGAAATATCCCCCATTCTTCAATTAGATGGACTTCAGAAGAGATAAAGAAGAAACAGATATTAACTCTCTGAAAAAAGAAGGCTGGCAGGTGGTATAGTGGTTAAGGGACTTGATTATCACATAGCTGACCGTAGTTCAAATCCTGGACCTGGTACCTTGAGATTCATGTCAGGCATGTGTCTGTGTGTGCCCAAAATCCTGAGACGAGAATGAAAAATAAGGGAGGTTGGGACCAGCAAATGGCGTGATAGTTACGTCGCTAGATTCTCACCTAGTTGATCGTGGTTTGAGTTCCAAACACAGTGGCTTAAAACTCACACGGGGCTTGTGTGCGCGCATGCCCAAAATCCTGAGAGGAGAATGGAGGAGAAGGGATTACAGTGTGGCCATCCACCCTGGGGGGTGATTTCTTGCTTTCTGTCTCTCTGCAAGTGTACACAACCTATAGCAAAAACCTGTCTCTCTCTGGTAAAATTTTTAATATATAATAATAATAATAATAAATACAGTTACATAAAATAATTCTTTAAAAAAAGAAAAGAGGGAGGAGGCCATTGTCCCTGGGGGGCAATTTCTCACTTTGTCTCTCTCTGGTGAGTGCACGTGCCCTATGGCAAAAACCTAAAGAAAGAAAGAAGAGAGAGAGAGCAAGAGAAAAAGAGAAAGAGCAAGAGAGAGAGAGAGAAGAGGAGGAGGAGGAGGAGAGCAGAGTAGGCATAGACCGTGAAGGTAGACAAGAGGTTATATTCATACAAGTCTGAAAAAGTTTAAAATTTATCTATCTATTTATTTATTTATTTAAATTTGACCAGAGAGGGACAGAGAAAGAGAGAAAGTGAGAAAGCAAGCCACCAGATCTGGGACTCAAACAGTGGTTGGCCATCTGGGAGTCTAGCACCCTTAACCACCACACCATCTGACAGTCCTGAGATTATAAATTTATTTTTAGACTAAGTGTGCATTGAAGTATTTTTTTTCTTTACTTCAAAGGGAAGGATTCTAAAACATTTATTATTATTATTATTATTAAGGTTGTTGAAGAGTGTGTGTACTTGCCAGAGAGAGACAGAGAGAAAAGGAGAGGGAGGAAGCACCCCACAGTGGAATGTGGTCATGCCAAATCCATTCTCCTCTATTTCTCCAGCCAGTCAGGATTTGGGGCACGCATGTGCCCAGCATATTTTTCAAGCCACTGGGGCCAGGATTCGAATTGAGGTCAGCCATATGAAATCCGGCTTTTTATGTGTAGCACTTAATTACTGCACAACCGGGTGGGTCCTGAAGGGAAGGATTTTGATTTAATTAATTAATTAACTAATTAATTAATTTTGCTAGAGGATGTATGCGCTCCCCAAAAAGTATGAGAGAGACAGGGAGAGGAGAAAGCACTCCTGCATGGGGCATGGCCATGCCACAATCTCTTCTCCTCTATTTCTCCCTCCTTTTAGAATTTTGGGGACACACACACATGCACCTGGTATGTTTCTCAAAGTGCCAGGTCTAGGACTTGAACCAAGCATTTGGCCATGTGGGGTCTAGCTGCCTTAACCACCAGGCTATAGAAAAGGCCCAAGGATTTTAATTTTGAGACTTTTTATGACATGTGTGAATTAATTGAGTGTACTTGCAAATTTGCCAGTGTGACTCTTAATAGACTTAGTAAGTATGTGGGCTTGGTCCATCACATGTTAACATCAACTGAAATCGTTCAAGTGAAGGTTATAAAAGTCTCAAGTTCATGTTCATACTAAAATATGGTCATCGTATTCCAGATGAGAGTCCAATTTTGCTTATCAAAATTTAGAAGAATTGTAGAGAGGCAGCAGATGGTGTAGTGGTTAAGGCGACTGTGGTTCAAGTGCCAGATCTGGCAGCTTGAAACTCACGCTCGGCACGTGTGTGCGCGCATCCAAAAATCCTGAGAGGAGAATAGAGAAGGGATTGCAGTGTGGCCATCCCCCTTGGGGTTGATTTTTCACTTTCTGTTTCTCCAGCAAGCACACACACCCTATAGCAAAAATCTCTCTCTCAAAAAAGAATTAGAAGTGATTTTTGTAAAAAAACCAATGCTAATTATCAGGATCCTAAATATGAGGGTATTTCAGAAAGCCTATGGAAAATGGGAGTAAAGTGTGAGTGTATTTTGATGTACAAAAATTTGAAATCTATGCATAGTTTTTTTCATAATACACATTTTCTATGAGACCTCATACAGTTGAGATTAAAGTGCTAATCACAAATTGTCACTAGCCTACAAGCCTATTAATACACTGAAGTCATTTGGCTAAAAGTCATCCATGAGAAAATTATTGTTTGCTATGCTTATTAGTTCTCCTTATGTGTACCCTAAAAAGAAATTCAAGATGCAGATAAGTAATTAAGTATTGCAGTATAGAGACTACATCTCAAAATACTTTTGCAATCATGTAATCTCAATCAAACTTTGGACTATAGCAAACAGAGTCAAAGGCCAGAGCTCAGGTAACAAGGAGCTTTTGGCTTAAGATGATATTACTCAGGCCAGCCCTGTAGCTCAGAGGTTAAGCGCTGTGATGGAAAGCCAGAGTCCACATGGCCCAGGGCAGTTGGAGTCCCTGACCCAGTGCAGTTAGAGTCCCTGCCCCAGCAGCTTGAAAAATACCCTGGGCAGGGGTCTACCAGTGGCAGGATGGCTAAAGCAACTAGATTCCACATAGTTGACTGTATAGTTCGAGTCTCAGACCTGGTGGCTTGAAAAATACACTGGCAGCACGTGCATGCCTACCCCAAATCCTGAAGAGAATGGAGGAGGGATTGCAGTGTGGCCGTCCCCCCGGTGGGTAAGGGGTGAGTTCTCATTTCCCCTCCTCTCTCTCTGTCTCTCTCCAATGAGTCCATGTGCCCTATAGCAAACTTAAAAAAAAAAATGCTGGGCACATATATTTGTATGACCAAAATCCTGACAGGATAGAAAAATGAAGAAGGGATTGCAGTGTGGCCATTCCTCTCGGGGGCGATTTCTCAGGCATTGGACTCCCACATGGCCGACTACAGTTCAAGTCCCAGACCTGGCAGCATACTTTCTCACTTCCCCTCTCTCTCCCTCTCTGGTGAGCACATGTGCCCTATTACAAATTTTGAAAATAATAATAAAAATAAATAAATGATTCTTTTTTTTTTTTTTGGAGG